TGTGTGTGTGTGTGTGTGTGTGTGTGTGTGTGTGTGTGTGTGTGTGTCTTTGTATTTGTTAAGAAAGATGTGGGTTAAGTCATTGGGTTGGTTTTGTCAGCATACAGACAATTGAATGAGTGATGACAGCACTCCACTTGTTGTCAACTTTAAATATATGGCCTTTCGCTCTCTTAAATACATTTAGTGTACCACTAATGATGGAACAATTAGTTGATTTATTCAACTGTTAGAAAAAAACATTGACTGGTTCCAACGTCAGCATTGTAAATTGATTATTTTGGGGTTAACGAATATTAACTGGATAAGACGAGCAATCTCAAGATGTTAACGTTTGAAATTGTGACGGCCACTTTCACAATTTTACATTTTACAGACCAAACATTAGGTTGATTAATTAAAAAAACAATTGTCTGATATTTCAGTTGCTTCCCCTCGAACTTTTTCAGTACTTTGCTTCGGTTTCATTGTTCACTTTTGCTTGAATCTCGTTGTCTTCCTCTGTAGACACGAGTCCGCTGAGGGAATCCTGTATCGCCTCCGGTCTGAATGTAACTCTGTCAAACTGCTTCACTTACGTTTTGCAATTTTGAGTTACGACGAGTGTGATGACACTCTCTTCTATTGTGTTTCCGTGTTTCGGAATCTTTTGACCTTCTCCCCCTCTTTGTCTTCCTCCCCTCCGTCCCGAGTGGCTCGCCCCTGAGCTGCTCCCACGGCCGCGTTGGCACAAGTGCTGGTGACATGTGGCATTCTGATATCCGTCACCTTCTGTTTGCTCCTGCCGACGCCGTGTACAAGTTTACCAAAATGCTGCAAAGGTCACGCAGCCTGTTCTGTGCTTCTTTTTTTTTTTTTTTTCTTCTTTTCTTTACACATCATATCCGAGGGGCTCGTTCTGGTTTATTTTAGAGTGTTTTTTTTAATTGTTGAAGGTGAGTGTTTCAGCCTGCACAGCCAATCGTGTGGCGAGGAGAGGCCAGGAGTCATGTTGTCTGTGGCCCAGTGCCAGACTGTCACTGATATAACTTGGCAGACAAAGCAAGGAAGAGGATTCCTGTGAACTTGAAAACAAGTTAAATGGAATGATCTGATGTCTGCATTTATGTAATAGGATATGTTATTTATCCGTGTAGGGAAATATTTTTTGCACCTCTACCTAAGGGAGATCAGACTGTAGTTTTAGCCGATGAAGGGTGATTCACTTGCCTGGCTAGCAGATGTAAGGTACAATAACATAATTGATTACATAGGAACATTATCAATCACCATGTTAACTGTTGTAATCAGAAGGTATCTGCAGCCCGTTCACAGTTTGAAACCGCTTGGTGCTCTTTGTGAATAACAGAGACTAAGGACGTTAGATGTTAGTTTTTAAGGACATCTTTGGGCCCTCATCCTTTCCTCTTAAAATAATGTGGAGATAGTTGCACTTCAGTGGTAAATACATCCGCAAAATGTCTGTATATTATTCATCGTTTCATTCATTTTTCCCCTTGTAGTGTATGTGCGCGTGTGCATATGCTGTGTGAAAAAGCACACGTGTGTGCACAAATGCTAACAGAGTTGTTTATTACTCTCAGAAACCGTTGCAACCAGACATGGGCCACAACTCGCTGGCGAACTTCCAGATTGAGAAGAAGATCGGACGCGGCCAGTTCAGTGAGGTGTACCGGGCGAGGTACCTGTTAGACAACACGTCAGTGGCCCTGAAGAAAGTCCAGGTAAGACACAGTAATGCACATCACTATTCTTACCTCTTCCCTTTTTTATTTTATTGTCCTCACGAGAATGGTTAAAGCGCAACAGGAGACATGTCACTAGACCAACACAAATATTACACTTACTGGCAATTTCACACGTCACCACATCTCAGCTGCGTGCAGTACATTCTGCTGTAACAAAGGTCCTGAATCCACACACACTGGTGTTCTTCATACGCAAACACAACTTGATAATCTCAAGAAAGCCTGGTAACTCAAAATATGTTGCATGTCAGTGCAAGAAAATAGCAACAGATTCTATTTTTCTGCCTGTTGTTCTTTTTTCCATGAAACAATTGATTGATGCCATTGACCACTCAGACAGCGGGGAACCACTGCTGCATTCACACACTTAAAAATAGATGTTAGCTATTTCTATTTTTTGAACTGCAACATGACTGTGTCGGCTTCTGTACCTTCACAATATGACCCAGTTCTCTTGGTGAATGTGCGCACACACGCACACACACACACACAATATGTGCTCTGCTTGTTGAGCATGTATACAAATATACACACCTCACACACACCTTACACAGGGATTGGTGCGTGTTACTCAGATGTGAAACACCTGTAGTCACTCCAACGCCACCCTCTAGATAACAGCAACCATGTTTTCTGTTTAGTGTTTTTTTCCCCTGTTTTCTATCCATCTCTCCATCTTCCATTTCTTGAATATGCCATAACACCTCTCTCTCTCCCTCCCTCTCCCCCTCTCCCCTTTTGATCTCTTGATAGATATTCGACTTGATGGATGCCAAAGCTCGGCAAGATTGCATCAAAGAAATAGATCTCCTTAAGGTAAAGAACCAGAGAGGAGGGAGACGCGTCATGCGCTGTGCTCTGTTCTCTTAAGGTGCCTCAGCTGAGACCTTCCACCACAGGAAAACAATTGATCTGCACCAGACGGCTTGGTTTTGTGTGTTGATGTGTGGGCACATGCACGTGTGTGCGTGTGCTTCCTTGCATGGATATGACTGCAGAGGGGTGTTTGAGAATGTGAATGAGTTTGTGTGTATGACTGTACAGTACACGTGTATTACTGTCTACACATGTCTCCAAGCTTGTGTGTGTGTGTGCGTGTGTGTGTGTTTGTGTATGTGCAGGAGTGCACCAGTGTAACATCCCTTCAGGCTCACATTGACTTTTTTTTTAATGCTTTTTTTTGTATCTTTTTGTAATGTTTAGATCTGGGCAACAGCGCATCAGCATGGAAATGTAACAGTCTCCCTCATGAGTCTCTTGATGTTTTACCTCCTCCTTTTCCTCATCTTGCTTTATTTATTTATTTATTTTAATTCCAATGAATTGGTTTCATTTATCTACCTTTAACATGTGTCAGCCGGGTTTCTCTCAAATACTAATGAACAAACTAATGACAGCTTCAATATTTCCCCCTGTCTGCAAGATCCTAGATGTGTGTCAAAGTTGTGTGTGTGTTTGTGGTTTCATGGTGTGTGTGTGTGTGTGTGTGTGTGTGTTCCTAGTCGTGTCTCCCTCCATACATGAAGCCTTTTCTGCGCATTCTTGTGCACCACAGGCAGTTTGCGCACATACATACGCTCACACGTACACATTAGGGAAGAAAACAAAACCAATTACTTTGTACCACTCAAACACATCACTGAAGCTCCGGGGGCTTGTTGGGCCAATCAAAGACAACAATACTCAGATGCAGGCGAGGCCCTGTAGAGAGCTGTAATCTGAGTAGCAGATCATCGACTTGACGGCACGAGACAGCAGGGTTCGCCTGAATCTGTATCTCTGACCTCCTAAGAGGGGTCACGGTAGGTTTGAATGTCACACTCTGCCAGGTGACGGCGTTTCTCATCTCCTCATTACGTGGATCCTCTTCCTCCACAGCCTTTCTCTGGATCCTTCCCCCCCCCCCCTCTGCTTGTTCCTACCCAGCTGCTATGTCGTTCCATCCATCCCTCTTCCTTTCTCTCTCCTTTGCCCGTCTTTCCTCCTCAGAGCTTTTTGTTCCCTTCTTTTCATCCTGTAAGCTGATTGCTAGTGAACATGGAAGTTATGCCTGACCCTGTGCTGCCCAGCCAGCCCGATAATAAAGGGCTGAGTGTGAGAGAGAGACAGTCCTTCTGCCTTATCCCCCACTAGACAGGCCAACAAGAGACACAGCCAAATCAGAATAATGAGAGGCACACTGGCATGGACCGACTGGAATGACACACATACTGGCACGTGATCACATACACACACACACACACACACACACACACACACACGCACACACACATACGCATACACCCTCAGTCATGGCATTTCAACAGTCTGCCTATTTGTTTGTTTGTTTGTCTGTCTGTGTTTATGTCTGCTCGTTCATCTATATTTTCCTGTTCTGGCATGATGATTTCAACTTGAGAATGTGATTTCTCACTCTGCCCTTTTTGTCTAAATCCTCGCTGATGGGAGTGTTGCTCGCAGAAATAGCTCCGTGCTTCCTGCCAATCTGCTATTTTCACCATTCTTGAAATCCCACAGCTGCAAATTCCTCTGGCTGTTGGGTTACTATCGAGCCTGGATTATATTCTGAAGGCGACTGATCGGCCCTAATCAGCAGTGAAAAGCTGTCTGTGTGTTTGCTGCTCCGTGTTTCATGTGTCTGTAAAAGTGTGTTTTGTGTTTGTGTGTGTGTGTGTGTGTGCATGTCTGGGTTCTGCGTGTGATTAGATTGTACCGGAGGTTTACTCACAAGAAGGAGAACTGGCCAGCTTCATTTAACCTGATACACACACTATAAATTCACTTTCATCCTTAGGTCTCTCTATGAGCAATACATTTCTTTTGCAAGTTTCGTACATATTTAGTTTTTCTTCAAATGGACAAAGAACCCAACATTGCATATCTACTCATTTTCTTGTTCAATTTATTGACATATATCAATATGGCATTCTTTTCTTCTGGTGACGGACATTAGAAGCCGTTTTTAATTCATTCCTCTGAGCATCCATTTATAAATGCACTCTAACCTAATTTGTTAAAACGGTTAATTTTGTACCATCAGATTGAATTAGTCAGTGTCTTGTTCTTCTTTGAAACACATCACAAGCTCACCAAATATATCACATTGAGTCTTGCATGATTAAGTAATTACACACGCTGGTGGGTCTCAGCGTGCATGTGTAATTACATAATCATGCAAGGCTGTGTGTGATATTTCCCAATGAGTGATTGTTGTATTGCATCCATCATTTACATAAACATCTGCATGTGAACTTCTCTCTTTATCTCTCCGTATCCTCCGCTTGAGGTTCAAGTTGTGGAAGAGGAGTGGGTTGTGACGGGCGCATTGTGTGTGTGTGTGTGTGTGTGTGTGTGTGTGTGTGTGGGGGGACTTATCATCACTCCCTGGCTGTGTTACAGTCTGGAGCCGTGCAGACCTGCCACTCTGAGCCAAAAATACATCTGGCAAGAGAGGACAAGGGAGGGACAAGGAGAGATGGAGACATGAGGAAGGGAAAGAGGGGACCGGGGAAGGTTGCAGAGACGGAGAGTGTAGTGTTGCCGAGTGTACTGTACTGTGCTCTCCTTTCCCCTTTTCTTGGCATCATCCGGAGCATGAACATTTCTTTAATCACAGCAGAGGAAGCAGAGCGGAGCCGAGTGGAGGACGTGTGTCACACTGCTCTGTCTGCTCACATCACCCCCCACACACACCCCCTCGACATTGCCATGCCACACAGCTCCGTGTCTCCAGCTCTCCCTTTTCCCCTCCGCCCTTTCTCCAGCTCCGCTCACCCATAGACTGTATATAAGAAGTGCTCACCTTATGACTCTCATGCTGTTTTTTTTTTTTTTTTCTCTTTCCCTACCTCTAACCCGCACTGCCTCCATCATTCTTTTGCTTGTCTGTGTCACTGTGTCATTTGTTTCTTTCCCTTCATTGCCTCTCTCTCTCTCTCTCTCTCTCTCTTTTCCCTTCTTGCTCTGGATGGATAGAGACTTTTTGTTTACTACAGGGAATGCTGTTCCTGCCTTATTGACCAACCAACAGGAAGGAATCTCAGCCAGAGATGAGCCTGCGATGCTTGTTTTTCTGACTGCCAGCCATGTCAGCCTGTCAGGCGTGTGTGTGTGTGTGTGTGTGTTTGTTTGTTTGTTTCACACATAGGTTGTTGTCATCACAGACTGAGGGGTTGTTTTGACATGTCACCCAGCTTTGTCACACTGGAGGACAAAATCGTCTCATTAGGTCCACCCTTACAAAATACGGCTTCCAAATATGGATTCAACGTTTTTGTTTTAATTGGTGGTGAAAGAACAGTGGATTGCACAACTCATGACATGAACCTCTGTTTTTTTTTTTTTTTTTTTTTTGTTAGCTGATGGGATTGTTTGAAATAAATTGTACAACAAGTCTTCAAGAAGACGCTCCTGTCTGTAGCCTCAACAATGAATGGTTTTCACTCTTGGATTAGGAAGTATGACCATGGAAGCCCTTAAAGTGACAAGTGTCACCAACATGTCTTCTGTTCGCTCTTTCTTTCCTTCTCCATGACATGTCTTTTTTTTTCTCTTCTCCCACAGCAACTGAACCACCCCAACGTGATAAAGTACCATGCGTCTTTTATTGAGGACAATGAGCTGAATATAGTCCTGGAGCTAGCCGATGCAGGGGACCTCTCACGTATGATCAAGGTAAGGAACTCTCCACAACAGCAAACCCCCGAGCTAGCACTCTTGGCCTGCTGGGTGCTCATAATATACAACAAGCTACACTCCACCACAAGAGCAATACACTTTATCACCAAAAATACAGTGTGTTGTATAAAGGGAAATTCTGGTATATCTAATATCTGACAGAATAAGCAGTTCAACACCATATCCCAGATTTGGTGTCAAAAGGAATGCTTGCATGGAAGCAACAAACTGCTGACGTGGGCTTTAATAACTGAGGGAATGGTGGCAGGAAGTCTGTGGTTTGTGGTTAACGGCTTTTCACTACCTGGACACTGAGTCAATCTGAATCATCCATTCCTTCCTGAATCAAAAAACCAACTAGTAACATGCATTCTGCAAGCCCTTTAATCCCAGCAGTCTGTGGACTGTAGGAGGGAAGTTGTTAAGAATCAGGCGATGATTAATGGTCATAAAGTTCCAGCACGTTTTGTATGTAGGGGGTATATGAACAAATACTGAGCATAATTTATCTGGCTTTAATTAAACTAGATGTACTTTTCATCTCGGCTAGATCTCCCTCAGATAAGACATCATTTATCTGATTCTAAATAAACATTGAGTCAAAATGTATATTCGAATCGAGTACTTAACGAGTGACTTTGAGCCACATGAATGTGTCGAGTTGACCATGTCTTACACAGAAGGAACAGGCTTGTTCAAAAGTGGCTCACCGTGTTATTCGTCTTTGAGTTCGACCAAACTCCCAGTTATTATAAAAACCTGCCAGTATAATAAATTAGTGGTGTGCATGTAAAAAGCCTGGTCTTCTTCTCCCATGCATAAATGATGCTGCGGCGTTGTATCGGTGCAGCTCGACAACCTGTTTGCAGTCATGCTCAGCAGCTCCACATCCGCACAGTTCAACACAGCAAATTAGGAGAGGCGAGGATTAGCCGAACAAGAGAGTGAACATGGCAGGCTCAGCACACACACTTGCACCAGTGATATATATCTGGTACACACACACACACACACTGAATTCATACATATGGCATACTGTGTGTAAGCAAAGAATGTGCAGACACAACCACAGCAAACACACTCTTGCAGATGTTCAGAGATGCACTTTAGAAAGATGTATCAAGGCAGCCTGAAGAGGTAGGATAACAAACCACTGAGCGTCACTGCTATCTAAGCTAAGCTATGCTAAGCTATAATGGGAGCATTCAGACTGTGTCATCTCCTTATGGCTACTGACAACATACAGTCAGACACACACACGAGTGCATGCCTCTTCTCACAATTTATCTCCTTCACAGTTCTAAATGATTTGTGTTTCTAATGTAACAGTGGCGGTCCAGAGGTGCATGCCACGGATTATCCCCCCTCCCGTAGTGTGAAGTAAACACATTTGAACAGTGTGCCATATGTAAAACAGAACCCCCCCATGCATGAATTTAACATTTTTTATTCTTTTTGATTTCTCGTCCTCCACGCTGCTCTCTCTCTCTCTCTCTCTCTCTCTCTCTCTCTCTCTCTCTCTCTCTCTCTCTCTCTCTCTCTCTCTTTCTGGCCATCTCAGAATTCAAATGAAATCAAATGGTCCTTGATTTGCATGCACTTACAGAATATTGCATGTGCAGTGTTTGCTGTTAAAGGCATGGAGAGGAGGTGGTGGTGTTGGTGGGCGCCTATGTGCTCCCCCATTGACATCAAACAGTCCTCTGATATGGAAATGAGAGGGCAAGGGAAGAATGGCTTCTCAATAAGGCTTTGTTTGCATGTAGGCCAAGGTCTATCCCTCCCTCTCTCCATCTATCTTTCTCTATCCCCCTCTTTCTCTCATACCTTCCTTTGTTTTCTGTAATACACACACACACACACACACACACACACACACACACACCAGTAGTTCAGCAGTAGTTGTATCTCCAGGATTCTTGAAAATAAATACATACAGACACAAAGATATACCAAGTGAATGGACAATGGAAAAAAATAAAGGAAATACTTCAAGATACAAATAAGTGTTTGCTTGTGATGTACAAGCAATAGTAATAGTATCCAAAATGTACTCGTATATGAAACAAACAAACATTTAATTCAATTATCGAATGTTCATTCTTTCCTTGATTAATGTTTTATGGTCTGACTTATCGTGTCACTTCTCTGTTGATGCACTTGCACTCAAGGATTTAGTGATTATATGTTGGTGGTCAACCTCTGACCTCACAAAACAGGTTTTTGGCCATAACGCAAGAACTCATATGCTAATTATGACAATTTCATACCCGGGCTTCCCTTTATTGAAAATGGAGCAATGAGGACACGGCATAACATCCTGTTGGTAGCCAGGCTTAGTCTGAACCACTGCTGTTTGAGGAGGAGTTCCTATCCTCCCTTGTTGATTATTGTCACTGTTGATCATTAAGCCATTGGGCCTAAGTTGAAGCTCTGTCATCACTGTGGCTTCTCTGGATTGGACCCCACTCTTGATGATCCAGAACGACTCAGTCAGCCCCCCAAAATGAAAAAAACAAACCAAAATCAACTGGAACCACTATGCCACTGAAAGCTGTACCTAACAAAAGAGCTATATGCCAGATGGAAGAGTTTTTGGAAGGTACCACAAATGTATTCTCTCTGTTCCTAAGAATGCATGTGCTTTCCATTGGCGGCCATGGAGAAAATGAGACGGAGCTCGGTTAGGCAAAGGACGGACCGAGAGGAGAGTGGTCTGGGTTGCATTAGCGACAGAGTCAGAGCTGGGGACTGGGGCTGGATGCTGTACACACACACACAGACACTTTGCTACCATCTTAAAATTGTATTCCGTGCCACACAAGACCTTTTCCCACTCCTATTAAAATATTTTATTTGTGCCTTCTTTCAGGTATGCTAATGTTGCTTTGATTTTCTGATTTGGTGTGTGTGTGTGTGTTTGCATTTACTTTACAGCACTTTAAGAAGCAGAGGAGGCTTATCCCAGAGAGAACAGTGTGGAAATACTTTGTCCAGCTCTGCAGTGCGCTCGAACACATGCACTCCCGGAGAGTCATGCACAGAGGTAGTGTTTATGCATACACACACACACACACACACACACACACACACACACACACACACACACTAATACAAAGAAGAAATTGGCTTATTTGTTTATTGTAAATACAAGAGAATCTGTTGTTTTAAACCACGAGAAAATCCCTCATTTTTTTTATGAGGGATTGTTCTCTCACCTCCTTTTAATGTTGCGACATATTTACAAGAAAAAACAGTTGCATAAAACAGTGGTGACCTTAACCGTGGTTACCTTTTCTAGAATATTAGGTTTCAGCAAACCACAAAGAGACAGGATTCATCATGGGAATACTATCTCAAAGCATATGACCAATGTCCAACTCTCCCCATTTAACAACGTTCATATTATCTAGTTTGCTTTTTAAAAAAAAGGCTGAACTCTATTGAGCTCTGAACTCTATCGAAGATATTTTATGTTAACTGATAACCATTTCTGTTGTGATGTCAGAGTAGCATACAGATGTAAGAGTAGAGGCCTCCTTGATACGCAGTTGCACACTGTCCTATCACACCAACAAACAGTCTGCATGTTTAATGGACCCGGACAAGGTTGACCCTCTCTCGACGAGGAGGGATGAGAATTTTCCCGCAACTGGTCCCATTGTCGAGTGGAAGCTTTGCCTTAAAAAATACTCTTAAACCTCAAATAAAATGAGATGTGGTCCTGAATCTTAACAAAACAGTCTTTGCTTGCCGAGCATTACCCCACAACACAGTAATGAAGGTGTTGTTGGTTGTGATGGACCAATGGATGTCTGGAAGGTGAGAAAACCATCTCAAGAAATTGTTGTACACAACTGCTTTCTTGTGCATTTTTATAGTTAACAGAATAAATCATACAGTACATCTAGTATGGTCCTCTTAAGTCTTTAAACTATAGGTGGGTAATAATAGAACGTCAAATCAGTGAATTTTCTTCAGAGTGATCGACCTTGTTGCATACGACAGAAGGCTTAATTGTAGGTGTTAAACAACACATAGACCAGAGAACACAGTGTTTATGGGACCACATGGTTTTAGTAGGGCCAAGTCAAATCAAGTCCTGGATCCATGGCATAGGCTGCTGCACGCACACACACACATACATACGTGCAAACACACAGGTGGTGTACTTCCGTTCGGCTGACTCTGATTAGGGCAGAGGGACACTAATGAACCCTGAGCTCTGCACTTTAATGGCCACTTAACAGAGACCGCCTATTCAAAAGACGCTTACAATTATATTAGCAGTCAATTTCAAAGGCTGCCGCGGGTCACATTAACATTACGTTAGAAAAAGCAACAGAAACGGTTTGCTAACGCCCACGGAAATGAATACATTAATGTACATGCGTGTCATGTTTTCTGACGCTTTCCCAAGTGTATCACAGTGCACACACACAATGTCTTTATAATCATATCTCCATACTGTCATGAATGTAACTTTAGTAATCTAAACAGTTGTTTCGATTTTTGTATGCAACCAATCGCTCTCTTCTCTCCAGATATCAAGCCAGCCAATGTATTCATCACAGCTACAGGAGTAGTGAAACTAGGGGACTTGGGACTGGGCCGATTTTTCAGCTCCAAAACAACCGCTGCTCACTCACTAGGTAAGTTATTACAGTCCATACTTACTGTGTGGAAATACACACACACACACACACACACACACACACACACACTCTTCCCTTATGAGCCTACAAACGCACACACAGACACTTAGACTCAGCGGTCCCCAGTAATCACCCAATGTTTGATGTGTTTCATTAGGCATGGTGAGCCCCGAGCCATGTGTCATGTAGTCATGCTGCCTGGCCACGTCTGTGCCCAGCCCCTTCATAGGCCACTTAGCCACTTCCTGTTACCTTGACCTTTAACCCTAACACAGTGGAAGACTGGGCCGAGGCCTTCGACACAGCTCTGATTGTGACTGCGTACCATAAAACAAGCCAGCAAACTTTACAATCACTGTTACTGTCGGCATTGATGGGTGTGTTTGTCACTTGCAGAAAATAAATCATGGAACGTTATTTTATTTTTTTGTTCAAAGAAGTGAGAATTGTAGCCCACACTAATTAAGACTCGTACATTTGGCTTATTTTAAGAAATACAAGTGTGCTAAACCTGAGGCTGTACAGAATTGACAAACCGAATGGTACCCCGCGTTTAAATGCATTATTTAACTCTTATGGAGTTTCATGACTGTGGGCCTTTTACTGTAAATCTTTAGGAGTCAAGCCCGCAACCTCAAGAAGAGAGTGAAACAACATTTAAGTCATTAAATGATTTCCAAAGGAATAGACACTTGTAGCACTTACTAACCAAACCTTTAGCTTGCCTCTCTTTATAGGAGACATAGGGTTTAACAGAAATACACACTCACATTCACACCTACCTTCAATGGTGTCCGAGTGTTTAAATCACACATGTACCTATAAACAATTTGTCAACAGCCTGTTCCTACCAGCCTTCATCACGTTGCCCTATTTTGTTTTAGTCTCGCCACTCCTACACCTTTTTTTGTTGTTAAGCATCACAGTGCATATTGTAATGCTGCAGAGGCCGGCATGTTGGCTAATTGTTACAAACTGGTGTTTAAAATGAATCCACAATAACACTTAATTCCAGAAATAATCAAATCTACGGTATCAGAGAATTATGCGTTATGCTCTTTGTGTAGAAAGGATTTGATCAAATGTTGGAGTGGAACTTCCTAATAGCAGCATTAATAAAAAATGCCTCTAAAAAATAGCCGCAGGTTTTCATATTAATGTGTCAATCACTGACAAAAACACATTTCTGGCCAGTAGAATTGTCGAGAAATTCTTCCGAAGATATACAGAATGTCTGTAAGAATCGTTTAATGGTCATTGGTTAAAGTTAAATCACGACAGTTCCATACATCTAACCAGTCAATCCCTTCATTTCTGTTTTGGTTAAACTCAGTTAAACACTCCCAACACAGGAGCGAGCAGTGGTTGGTTTTTGCTAAGTGCCACCCCTCGAATGCACGTCATTAACTAGCGTTAGCACGTCTTTGCTATGCAAGCTACTGAGGGTATGCTGAGGGTATACACGTGCTGCTTATTTTAAGGATCGTAACAGTGAGTAAAGACCTAGCCGGCCTCACAGGAACAGTGTTGTTACTTAACTTCATTGTCTTCTGTCTTGATCGCCAGGTGATGTGGGACTTCACACCGTTATCTGTAGGTTGTAACTTATATCTTCACCTTTTTAGCAGATTTTGCTGCTGAATTAGTTCATATTTATTCAGGGAGTGCAGTTAGAGACGATATGAGCTTCATGGTAGCTCTGAAAGCTTTACGGAGTAGCCGTGGGGGGGTGAGGCTTAACGAAGAGTCAATTAGTATCTGATGCCTGGTCTATACAACACAATAAAAAAACATATTGAACATATTCTGATCATTTTAGCTGGCCTCCTTTCCTTTGGCTTGGTGTTTTGTGTTAATAGTATAAATGTGGCACAGATCATTATAGTGGAGATGGTTACACTGTGCCATTAAACATCCCCTCAGTAGCTTCACCTGCTTCATAGACACACATATAGCCCGTCATTCACACAGTGGCACTTCCCTATGTCAAACTATTCTCAGCCCCTGTACAGCAGCGGCCCAGCTGTTTTGAGAAGGTGTGAATCACATGATCAGCTCAACGTCGGCCCCATCAACTAAGCAGCTTGCAGTGGCAGCAGAGTCGGGTAAAAGCGCCTGTGATAGCTCATTAAATGTTAAATCCACAGCACCCTCTTTAGGCTGACGGGGGATAGGCAGCCCCACAAGCACAAGGGTCGACTGGAAAACTGTCATCATTAATCTGAAGCAATCAAGACTGCTTCGATAATCTCCAGAAAAACTACACAAATCATAGTGTCATATTGCCTACAGTGCAAATTCGATGATCGGAACAGATGCATTTGATCTAGAGCAGTCACATTGGTCCTGAGATCATGAAATGAACTCTCCTCGAATAAGCATGTGAAGTATGCAGATGAGATTTTGTGATGATACATTTTATATGCACTTCATATGCTTTTAAGAATATTTAGACTTCATAAGGATGTGTTCAGCAGATGATCTAGTACTGTAGAAGCAGACGATGTCCCTATAGGTAGTCATGGCCTGTTGACACAAGGGAGTGCTTCATCCTTCCACCCTCTGTCGCTGGCTTTACCCTTGCCATTTCTTTAGTCTTTAGTCTTTTTCTTTGTCACATATCCTTCTCTCCTGCTGCTGTTTCTCAGTCTTACTTGTCCTCACTTCTCCTTCCCTCTGACCCTCCCTCTGGTGCTTTGACTTTTAGAGAGAACGGGAGACAGAAAGGTAGAATGTGCCGGGTGTGAGAGAAGAGAATGTGACACAGAAAAAAAAAGAGGAGGGAGGGGGAAAAAAAAAGAAAGAAGAGAAAAAGAGTAAGGAGGAGGTGAAGAAAGAGAGAGCGGTTGATATGACAATGTGACAAAAAAAATGGATGGGAAAAAGGAAAGCAAGAGTGAGAGAGAGGATAGAAAGAAAGAATGTGAGGAAGAGGGGGGTGTGTGTGTGTGTGTGAGAGAGAGAGAGAGTGAGAGAGTGTGAGTGTGTGCGTGCGTGCAATTGCGTGCCAGCGTGGGTCTGTAATGAGCCCAGCCACCCAGCTGAACAGTGGAGCAGGGTGGTGGAGATGAGATGGAGGTCCAGGCATTCAGCCTGTCAGCTCGCAGGCTTTCAACTCAGCTGCTCAGCAGCCTGCAGTCACACACACACACACACACACACACACACACACACACACACACACAC